GTTTGTGTTTTGTTTTTTGTGGTTTTTTTTTCCTAGCATAGCAGTGGGACCAAATCAGATCTGCTGGGCAAGATGAGATCTGTGGGAAAATTGTGTCCTAAAATGCCTTCCTGGTGTTCCCTGTTGGATTCTTCTGTGCCACGTGCTCTGGGATGGCCCTGCTGGAGCAGGTGGGACCTTCCAACCTCCCCCAGCCTGTGATTCTGTGGATCACAGTCCATGTGTTTGGGTAAATCAACCTGTTAACCCAAATTTTGGGGTGCCCCTCGTTGCCCATCCTGCATTTCAGACCCACCACGAGCACAACTTGACTTTCCAGCCTGTCAGGAACTCTGTTGCTCCTAAGAGCTCCCTAAAGCAAATTTCCCAGTCTTTTTATCTGAGATCCACTTAGAGCAGTTTTTAGTGAGACTAGAGGTGATATCCCAGTGTATGAAATCTGTCAGCAGTGATGGATACACATCTGAGGAGCTGAGTGAAAACTGAAGCTGTGGCATTCCCAGGCTCCATTTAACTCCCAGAGCTCTGCATTTAGATGGATTTATTTCCCTGCCAGTGGATTCTGACATAACTGCAGTGATATTTAATGTATTGACTGCCATGTCAATATTATTTTGAAGCTGACTCGAGGAAAAACCTCCCACTGTTGGTTCTGGAGTGCAACACTTTGTTCTGCTGGAGGGGAAATCACATCAAATCCCCTCCTTCTTAAGCCCTTTTGGAATGGCTCCTAAAATGAGGGACAGCAGAGCTCACCTGGCTTGGGGCATTCCATGTCCTGGAATTGTTCTGGGATTTTCAGGGAAGCAGGAGGCTGAATAGGGGAAAGCACATCCTGGGGTTTTGGAATATCCTAAAGGGGAATGGCTCCCCACTGCCAGAGGGCAGGGATAGGTGGGATATTGGGAAGGAATCCTTCCCTGGGAGGGTGGGGAGGCCCTGGCACAGGTTGCCCAGAGAAGCTGTGGCTGACCCTGGATCCCTGGGAGTGCCCAAGGCCAGGTTGGAGCAACCTGGACTAGTGGAAGGATCCCTGGATGGAACTGGATGAGCTCCAAGGTCCCTCCAACCCAACCCATTCCATGGTTATGGCATCACTTCCAGAGTGCCAAATCCACGCCTTTTGTGACATTTCTATTCAGGTATGAATTGTTTAAAAGTGTCAGATGGAGACCATGATACACACAAAAGAATTTCTTTTCTTTCTCCTTTTGCCCTGCATTTTTTCACTCTCCCTTCATTACAGGCTGCTGCTATAAAGGGTTTATTCATGAGCTTAACCTAATTACTGTCCTCAGAAACAAAGCCTGGTTTGCAGTGAATATCCTTTTGATATCCATCATCTGAATATTGCCTAATAAAGTTAGCAAATGGCCTCCAAATGAACCAAAAGGATTCAGTGGCTCATCCAGCAAAAAAAAAAAAAAGAAAAATAAAAAAATGGATCAGGGTTTTACCCAGACTGACAGAAATGTTTAAAATTCTCAGTGCATGGCTTTGCTGGGGGATTAATATGCATTTTTTTTCCTGTCTTGAGATGAAAAACACTGTCTGGATTTAATGCAACACTTCCAAAATTGCTGATGTGAGTCTCTGGGAAAGCTGTTTTATAAACACACCGGAGAGTTTAGCAGAGACAAAGTTCACTTTGAGGAGCTGCAACACTTGTAATCAGGAATTGAAATGTATTCATGGATTTGCAGGACTTAAAAGGCAGGAATTTAAGTGCCTTCATGTATTTTCCTTGCTTGGAACAAAGGTGATCCATTTTTCATGGAAGCAAAGCTCCCTGGGGTTGAGTTTGCTCTGGGGAGATAATTAAGAGGGATCAATAACTAGTGATGAATTGAGTTTTGGCCTGCCTGGGTCCCTGGACTGGCTCAGCTGCTGCTGGAGTCACCTCCCAGGATCTCAGGGTGGGGTTGACACGGGGAATGGCTTTATAGAGTCATGGAATCATGGAATTGTTAAGGCTGGAAAAGATCTCACCAAGTCCAACCATCAGCCGGCACCACCATGTTCACCACGAAACCACGTCCTCCAGTGCCACATCCACATGGTTTTGGGGCACTCCCAGGCGTGGTGACACCACCACTGAACTTATCACTTGCTCAGATTTCTCTGGTGTTGATGGAAATGTTGGTTTAAAAACCAACAAATGTAAAAGCTCATTTTTAGCCCTTCCTGACACTCATCTCAAGGCCAATATTCCTTGTTCTGCTCTTCCACAGGCTCCCCAGGGCAGTGGTCATGGCCCCAAGGCTGCCAGAGCTCCAGCAGTGTTTGGACAAGGCTCTCAGGGACAGGATGGGATTGTTGGGGTGTCTGGGCAGGAGCTGGACTCAATCCTGGTGGGTCCCTTCCAGCTCAGGATATTCTGTGACTCATCTTGTCTGTTTGGGGAAAAATAGAAGTGGTAAGTGAAGACAAAAATGACCTTTTTTTTCCCTCCTAGAGATCATAATTCTATTATGTGAACTCTTGGACAATAAAATTTAGATTAAAATGTCCTTCCCTGAAGCAGAAACCCAGCTTACCCTGTTAAAACCAGCAGATTCTGATGCCCCCACTGCTGCCTACCTGCTTGGATCTTCCAGGTGTGTGTGAAGAAGGTTGGGACATTCTTTATGTTCTTCATCTTGGGCTGGGATAATTGAATTTAATTCTAACATATCCTCAGTGGAAAATGCCCTTTTCCAGGAGCCCATTGCAGCGTGTTCTGATGGACTGCCTGCTCCTCTGAGTGCCACCATCCAGCTCTGAGCTGGATTTCAGTGCTTCACGGGGAAAATCCTTATTTCAGTTCCCTCTTCAGTGGCTCTTTGGCTTGGACAGTGTCTGAATTAATGGCAGTTTGGCATCTTTGCTCATTAACAGGCTCCCTCTGATTTGTCCTGGCAGGTTCCCTGTGCTCCGTGTGTCACTCCCACCATTCCATTCCCTGCCTGCCGAGTGCTGGATGAGGATCTGGAGCCAACTGGAGCTTAATGGGATCTGCACCATTTTTAAAGGTGACTTATGGAATCACATGGAATATCAGGACACACTTAATAACTTCCTGATGCCACAACAGACCCGAAGGTCTGTGTTATCTCAGAGCTGCCCCTGCTCACCAGATGCTGTTACACTGCCCTTGGTGGATATTTTTATAATTAGAATTTTTTTTTTTTTTCCTGAGCTCCAGTAGCTCTTAAATAAAAAAATTGATCCCGGGGAATTATATTGTTGAATATTAAAGTCAGTATTTATTTGCAAAGAGTCACTCTGGGGGTGCCTAATTTGTCGAGGTTTTCTGCTCAGGCTGCAAAATGCTGCAATAAAACTCAGTGATTGATGTTTATGATCAGATTAAATGGTTTAGCTGTGGGGATCAAAGTTATAAATTCCAGCCCTCCCCAGGCTGGGATTGGCCACCAGAGATCCTGCCAAGTGCCAGCGTTTTTTTTAATGAGCTCGTTTATTTTCAGGCTCCAGCAGCATCAACTTTTTGTAGTTTATTGAAAGTGTGTTTAAAACAGCGATGTGCCAGGTGCCAAAAGGCCTGGATGTGGTTTGTGTTTGCTGGGTCAAACATCCCAGTGGGGAAAACCAGGAGTTAAAAGCGGAGAATTGGATTTCCAAGGAAAGGCTTGAGGAGCAGGAGGGATGTGGTCCCCTGGCTCTGTGCTGCTGTCATTTGTTTCTTCTGCTTTTTGGTCGTTTCACTGAAAATGTGGGGCCTCAAATGCAGGGATGGCCCTGGGGCTGCCTCCCTGCTGTGCTGCAAAGGGAACCATTGCCTGGTTATCCATGGAGATGAAATGTTTCCATCCCCAAGTGTGGTGGAGAGACCACAGGGACACAGTTGGAGCTTGGAGCAGAGCTCTGAGGTCACCAAGTCATTGTAGAACTGGTTGGATTCAAGTTTAATGGTTGGTTTTTTCCCTGTTGGGAGACTGACCCTGGTGACTCCAGCATTTTCCCCCCACTGTTCCTGAAAGGAGAGGAAACTGAGGTTTCTCTAAAGGGCAAGAGGATGGAAACACCTGATTTGATTTGCTCAGAGCTGATAGAGCAGGGCCTGGATCTCAAAGGCATAACACAGAATAGAGATTTGATGAAAGGAATACTGAGATCATTTTGTTAAGGTTGCTCTTAAGCCCTGTATCTGAAAAATACCAGAGAATGGCTCAAATTTAGTCTGCTGTTAGTGAGGACTAAATTCTATTTCCTTCCTTGCAGTGGGAGATTTATAATTGGGGTAAAACCTGAGCTCTGAATTAATCTCCAGAGCAGAATTGTAGCATCAAAGCTCGACATTGTCTTCCTGTCCCCGGGACATTCTTTGTTAGAGAATCATTTGTTTTACTCCAAAGAGGCCTTTTTTCTTTCTCTATTAAAAAGTTGGTCTTTTTTTTTTTTTTTCCTCGTGGCTGCCTTTACTCTGGGGAGATTCTGATTAAACACTTCAGTTCAAAAGCTTTTGCACAGCGGAGTCATTTTGGGAGGGAAGGAATCGTTAGGGATGCTGGGGGTGTTGGGGGTTCAAAGCAGGCTCTGCTTCATTCCTCCTGCATCAGCACATTGGATGCTCTTCCCTGGCTTCAGGAGAAGTGAGGGGCTCTTTCAAAGGGCAGAAAAAAATGATTTAAAGTGGTGTCATTTAAAGGAGCAGCTCGTTGATTCCCAGCCAGTTGGGCAGGGGGATGTTTCCTTGATTTTGTGGCTGTGGGAAGGACGTGCCCAAAGCCCACCCTGGGGGTGTGCTGGCCTTGGCATTGCTGGGAGGGCAGAACAGAGCCATGGAATCTTTGGGGTTGGAAAAGCCCTCCAAGATAACCAAGTCCAACCATTCCCAGCACTGCCAAGGCCCCACCACTGACCCGTGTCCCCAGGTGCCACATCCAAGGGATTTTAAATCCCTCCAAGGATGGGGACTCCACCGCTGCCCTGGGCAGCTGTGCCAGGGCTGGACAGCCCTTTGCATGAGGGAAATTTTTATTTCCATGAAGGAATTCTCCCAATATCCAACCTGACCCTCCCCTGGCACAGCCTGAGGCCGTTCCCTCTCCTCCTGTCCCTTGTTCCCTGGCAGCAGAGCCCGACCCCCCCCCTGGGTCCCCCCTCCTGTCAGGGGGTTGCAGAGCCAGAAGGTCCCCCCTGAGCCTCCTTTTCTCCAGGCTGAGCCCCCCCAGCTCCCTCAGCTGCTCCTGCTGCTCCAGCCCCTTCCCAGCTCCGTTCCCTTCCCTGNACACGCTCCAGCCCCTCATGAAGTTTGTAGGAGTCAGCACAGCCCTTCCTGCTGTAATTGCACCTTTACCTCGGAAGCCCTGGTGGAAAATAATTAAATTCCAGAAAAGGCTGTCTGGTTTTGAGCCCCTGAGGGGATCAATTAAATGTGATGGTGGTAACTGCAGCTTTTAAGAAAATATACGGGGTTTTTAAAAGGAATTAGGTGAGGTCTTTTGCTGGCGGGGAGCTGAAGGCTGTATTTCCATGTTTCCCTCACTTTTCCTGGAAAGTCTGAGGAATGTCTCAGGAGGAGCCATTTACACCCAAGAAACAGAGGCAGGAAGATGTTGAGGGATGCAGGATTTCTATATCTTGGCATAGACTTTCCCCAGAGAAGATGCAGCTGCCAAATCCCTGGAAGTGCTCAAGGTCAGGTTGGACAGGGCTTGGAGCAACCTGGGCTAGTGGAAGGTGGAATGAGGTGAGCTTTTAAGGTCCCTTCCAACCAAACCATTCCATGAGTTATGATTTCTATCTGCTTAAAAAAAGGGATCAGTGTGGACTCAAGCCTAATCTAGAGTTTGACCCCTTTGGAGAAGGGGGTTTTCATCCCTGGGATGCAGCTCCAGCAGCAGCACAAGCTGCTTTCTGGGAGCACTGGAGGAGCATCACCCACCTCCTGCAGCAGAGGGAAATAAAGCACCGGAATTATCCTAATAAATTACAATAATTGTGCCTGGCAGCAGGAGGTAATTTAAACCAGATTAATCTAACAAGCCTTAAAGATGCATAAATAATAAACATCTTCATGCATTGGGAATCTCATTCGGAATGAATATTAATTACTGCTCATAAACCCGGTGCCCAAATCGATCCGTGTGGAGGAGGCACAGGGTATTAAGTGCAGTAAATTGGACAGAGCCCAGATGAATATTCCCATTATCCGTTAAAGTGGGATTGTGCAGGTGGACAGAGCCCACATGAATATTCCCAGCATTCATTAAAGTTGGGTCGTGCTGTCACTTGCCCCCAGCACTGGCTGATGGGAAGCTTTGGAACAGGGGCTGGTGGTGCTTAGCTTTGATTTTGTTTCCCTTGTTTCCTGGCAGGTGGGATGGCTGGATCACTGGGTTCCTGTGGGAATTATCCAGAGTTTCTGTGAGAGGGAAGGGAAGCCCAGGTGATGCTGGGCCATGGGAGGGGTGGCTGATGCCACATCCCCATCCTGCTGCTGTGCTGGTCCATGGAGTCAGGAATCAGGAGTCTCCTCCTGACCTCTGCAGGGATAAAAACCAGAGGAAAGCTTTTTTTCCCTGGAAAAATGGCCCCCAAGGCAGGGTGACATGTTGGGTGGGGTTCCCTCTGTGCCCTGGGTGTGCTGAGAGGGGGGATTTCAACTGGAGCAAACTGGGGACCCGCTCCCTTTGGAGTGGGAACATCTGGAAGATGGATGAGAGGGAACATCTGCACCATCTGCTCTGGTGGAGCTCTATCCCTCATCCTCTCCCCTCGCTGCACTGCTGTTGTGTTTGGGTGATATCCATCATTCCCTCCCATCATTCCCGTTCTCCTTAGGCCAAGGCTTTCTCCAGGAAAATGCTTTGCTTGGCAGAAAGCTGTGCTGGGGGCTCCTAAAGGGAATTTTCCCCTGCTCCCTTTTTCTCTGCATGGCTCAGGCAAAGAGAATTTTGCCTGTACACAGCACAGGCACCGGGATCTTGCTTTTGGTGGACACCTGCTGAGTGTCAGAGGGAAAACGAGCTGGGAAGGATAACTGGGGGGGTTGGAGCTGCAGTGTCCTGCTGGGATGAGGTGGGGCGTGCTGGTTTGATGTGGCAGGAGGGAAGATCCTGTGGGGGATTCCTGGGAATGCTGGGTACTGTTACCCTCCCAGGGAGGTGGTGTTTGCATCTTGGTTTAAACTGTAAAGCCTGGCAGGATTAAATGAAGGTCACTGGTTGGAAAACGTGCCAGGGCTGGTTTAAGAAGGATCATAAAATAAAGTGTAGCCTGGAAAAGCTCCTGGTGGGATTCCATGTGAGGCTCCTTGATCTTTCCCACGGAGGGGATTCGCTGCCTGTGCCGTGTCTGAGATGGGCTGATGCTGCACTTGAAAGGGTTTGGAGGCTGCTGGGATCCCTGGGGCTTGGAGATAAGTGGGAAAGGGAGCAGGAAAGGAGGAATTCATCCTTGTGGCCTCCTGAGCAGGGCCAGGGGGTTGGCTCAGGTGTGTATTGAGCAGCTGCTCATGGAATGAAGTGTGTGAGTGAAGGTGGGTGCAGGGAGAGGGAAGGGCTGGAGAGCACTGGGAGGTTGGAGCTCATCCCCAGGGATTTGTCCATCTACAGATTTTTCCAAGACCTGGGAGCTCAGAACACCCCTGGTTTGGTCTGACACCTGAAATGATGTGGGTGTCCAGCCCTGCAGGGACACCATGTGCCAGATGGGAGGGTGTCCTCATCCAGGATAAAATCCTCTTGGCTGGAAATTGCACAGGAATCCCAGGAATCTTTCTGCTTTTCCTCTGCCCGTGTTGTGACTCCTTGTTAAATAGGAGGGTCTCCTGTTGTAAGAAGTGTTCTGAGCTAATTAAAGCCCCCATCAGCCCCCAAATAGAAGTAGTTCCCATTTCCCAATTACCAGGTGTCTGTTCTGCCTTCACCTGCAGCTTCCACACCCGGGAAATGTCATCTTTACTTGCAGCAGCATTTGAAAAATGGTAGCAAGCAGCTTTCCATGCTCCATGTTAGAACTGGAGGGACAAATCCAGGGATATTGGATCCAGTTTCTGAGCTGGAGCTGGGTATGCAGCTTTGAATACTTCAAAACTAGCAGAGCCCCTTTAGGTGAGAAATGAACTTTGAAATAGGAAGGTGAGGCCCAGCCTGGGATCAGCAGAGCAGAAACTGGATTTAAAATAATAGAAGTGCTGTGGGCTGAGCTCCTGAGCTTTCCTGGGAGAAAGCTGGGAAGCACAGAACCTGGCATTTCCCAGGATCACAGAATCCCACACTGGTTTGGATTGGAAGGGACCTTAAAGCTCCTCTCATTCCAAACCCCTGCCCTGGGGGGCACCTTCCACAGCCCACGTTGTTTCCAGGGCATCATCCCAAAAGCTGCCTGTAAATTGTGATGTGATGCTGGGAAGGATGTGAGCAGCATCCATATGGTCCAGCTGGGGAGATCCCTTGCCAAGGACTTCCCAGAGGTTGTTCTTTGCTGTGCTGGGAACAAAGTGTTACGAGTTTGACCTGTCTGGAGGAGCTGTTCCCTTGCCTGGCTGCTTGGCAAGATTTAAATCCTGCTGCTGTCTCACATCGATCCCCAATAAGTGCTTTAATAGCAGGCCTGGTGTAAACAGTGAGGAGGTTTCTGTCACTCAGGTAATGAAATCACATCTGTTTTGGCTGGGAAGGAATTTATCCTTGGCTTGGTGTTGTCTCCCCAGGATGAGGAAGCTCCTTGCTCTGAGCCTAGACACTCCAAACCTGCATCTCCCAGGAAAAAATGGATTAGGGGCAGAGATGGGGAGGGCAGAGGTTTGGGGAAAGAAATTCTTTAAGGTAGCAGAGCAGTTACTTCTGTTAGACAAGAAAACAGCAGGTCATTGCTTGTGTTTTAGGCTGTAATTCCAACAAAATCTCGTGGTTTCACTCTTGTGTTTTCTCTTTGGGCTCCTTTAGCAATGCCAGTTGTGCCCTCCCCTCTCACCCAGGAGCTGTTTTCCAGCTCGGGGTGATGCTCTTCCATGGATCAGATGTAAATGGTTTGGATTTGGATTAAACAAAACCAGCAGCACCTTTCTCTTCCCTCCCCATCCCAGTTTAGTTTTTGACTGAATCCAGACTTCTTGCTTCTCCCAGGACAACTGTGGAATCCTAGAACAGATTGGGTTGGAAAGGACTTTTAACTGTCATCTAATTTAGCCCCAAATCCTCTATTTTAATAATCCTCTAATCTAATCTATCCCCAGATCTCCTATTTATTCCCACTGGTTCACACTTCTCGACATCCAGCAGTGGGTGAGAAGCCAATGGAGTTTGTGAGGTGGGAAAAGAGGAGTTGTGAAACAAAGATCAGAAGAATAAGGCCCTTCAAGAATAAGATAAACAGCTCAGCAAAGAGACCCTTTGCTCTACCAGAGCTCTGGGAGCTTGGTTGCTTTTTCCTTTCTCTATATTTTTAACACACAGAAGCCTTTGCAGCAGCCCAGGCTTCACCCACACATTGCTCCTGGGGAGGAAGGATTTGTGACACCTCTAAGTTTGCCCAGGAGTTTTGTAGAGATATTTACCCGTTGGCAGAAAGCCAGGGAAGAGGATTTTGGCCCCAAAAATCAGACCCCAACCACTCCAGAGCCAGGGCAGTCGCAGCCCCTTCGATGCAATGAGTGTCTGGGACTGAAGGAGTGATTTGCAATCCCTGGAATGGGCAGTAGGACAGGAAAAAATTTCAAAATATTTTTCAGAGCAGTGGCTGTATCATATACAAGTGTTTTACCAACATCTGCTCAGGACAGATGTATAAATAGGGAAATAATTTTTCCACCACTCTAACAGCTTCTCCCTTCACCAGTGGTTAGAAAAGAAGTCGGGAGTATTTTAAAAGATTTTGGGCTTTTTGTTACGTGTCCTTTGATTTATTTACGTGACAGCCAAATGACCAGAGAACACAGACTAAAATGACTTACAGGGATTTTTCTTTTCATTAAATTCCAACCTCTACTTAGCCAAATATACGAATTCCCCTTCTTCCTTGCGTGGCAGAAGCTCTCAAACTCAAAAAGATCTCCAGCAGTAACTGGCAGACTGTGCCCACTTGGCTCCTAAACTCTCAACAACGTGAAGCTCCAAATGATCAGAAAAATTTTCCCCACCTTTCTAAAGTGTGGGAAGCAGAGTCCAAGTGCAGATCTGTGTTTTTACCTTTCAGTAATGGTAATTTAATATGGTTCCATCCACCCCACCCAGGCCACTTGCATGGGATTTAACACACTGTTCGTGCCCAGCATTTCTGTTGGCCCAAGGAAATGAGGCAGTGCTGGCAAAAAGCTTTTCAGTCCTGCCACACCAGAAGTGATGATTTTGGCCACCCAGGGCAGGTTTTCAGGGAGTTAATGTGCTGTGTTTGACCTTCCCGTGCAGAGGGTGAGCTCTGACAGTCTCTCTGTTGTGCTGCTGCCTTTTGATTATTATTTTGATTATTATCCCCCGACCCTGGGATTGTTTAATGGGCAGATTAGGATCTTGCTTGTGAGCTTTGGTTCATACCCACAGCTCTGCTCAGTGCAATCACCATAGTAACGTTGCAGGGGAATAATGTGCCTTATATTTTTATCCTGTGCTGAAATATCAGAGCTGGCTAATATTTCTCTTACTTTTGTCCACTGCTCCTCTTTAGCAGGGGCCAGAGGAGGTTGTGCCTTTGGTTTCCAGGGGATTGCAGCTTCTCCCGTGGATGTGGATCCTGTGATGCTCATGGAGGGTGGGAACCCCTTGCTCTGGATCTCTTGTTCTGACCAGCACAAGCAAGAACAAAGTCCTGGCTTCAAACAGCTGGTAATCAAATGGTACAAAGCCTGGTTTATACAAAGAAAATCAAGAAACTGAGGAGTAAAGTTAATTCAGGGTATTGGGCTGTGTATTAGATTAGGTTTGGATTAGATATTAAGGAATTCCTGGCTGTGAGGGTGATGAGGCCCTGGCACAGGTTGCCCAGAGAAGCTGTGGCTGCCCCATCCCTGGAAGTGTCCAAGGCCAGGTTGGAGCAACCTGGGCTAGTGGAAGGTGTCCCTGCCCATGACAGGGGGTGGCACTGGATGATCTTTAAGGTCCCTTCCCACTCAAACCAGTGTGGGATGATGGTTCTGTGATGTGTTGGGGCTGTGTTTTGCTGCCCTGGGGGTTTGTGTCCTGCAGAAGGTCTGGCTCTTTGGGACCTGTGTCATTCTCATGAATCAACCTCATTAATTAAATAGCTTGTTTATGTGGGTGTTTTTAAAGGTTAACTTTCTTCCAAAAAGACCAAGGAATTCAGTTTCCCTGCAGACCTGTGCATTTTGGGGGAATATAACCCTGACAATTGCTGAGCTCTGTTACCTTCAGGTTCAAAAGCACCAGCAACACAAACTGAGCTCTTACACCCCGTGCAGCACATGGTGAGCAGGGGCATCATTATCCCAGGGAGGAGCAGGATCTGGGATCAGCCATCCCACCCCAGTGCTGGTGCCCATGGATGCTGTGCCCTGGCTTTCCCTGCTCACTGAACCACGCTCTGCTCTGGGCTGGGAAATGAGAGAAAGCTCTTGTTCAGTAACACATTGAGAAGGGAAACTCTGCCATCCTGAAAATAATAATTGGGTTGCCAGGATGTGTTTAAACAAGGGATAAATTATCCCTGGGCTTTGGCTCCCAATTTCACCCCTCCTGCACCAGAAACTCATTACACAGGCAGGACTGATGGCCCAGCCAAGATTTCCAGCTTCCACTCTCCTTCCAATAACACTTTCTCCTATTGCATTATAATCTGGGGCTGATATCAACATGGATCATGCCTGGGCTTCCACGGATGATGAACCATTGGAGAGTTTTCCACGTCCCCATTAAATAAACCCCAGGGACAGTAAATCATCCAGAGTTGCTTCCCTTTTTTTTTCAACCCGAGCCTCTCTCAGACGTGAGAGGTGATAACGTGGTTTCCCAGCCCTTCCTCACAAATATTGGGAATGGTTTTGGAAGCCTTTGGTTGCTGTTACAGCTCCTGCAGTGATTTTTCCAGGGAAGTCCTGTGTGTCCAGCCCAGCGTGTCCGAGGCTCCTCCACGAACCTTAATTCCTTCCCTACCTCCCCAAAAAATAGGAATCATCCCCTCCACTGGACTTATTTGGCTTTGATATGGAGAAGAAAAGATTAAATGTGTTCCTTGAGCTGTGGCAGAGTAGTGGGTCAAAAATGTGATGGTATTTTTGTTTCTGATCCCCAAACAAATGACTCTGTGGCATAAGCTGAGAGGTGTCATCCATATGATCCGTGCAGCTTCCCAAAGGGAGCAGAGCTGTGGCAGGGTGAGACATCCCCCTCTTAGGAGCCGTGATTTGTGCCTGTGGTGTCGTGTTATTGGGTTGTCAGCTCAGGAGGGAAAAAAAATACCCCTCTGCTTCCATTTTTTATCCCTGGAAAAAAGGGGCTCCTGTTGTGCTCCTTGCTCTTGCCTGGATTCCTCCGGAGCAGTGGGAAGGGCTGGCTCCGTGCTGGGAGCTCTGCTCCCTCCCAGATCCTGCTGGGAGTGGGGCTGTCCCTTAGGGCAAAACAGAAGGCAAAAACCTGGCTTCTCCCAGCTGCTCCCCTGCCATTCCTGAGGGATTTCTGGGACAAAGCAACCCATGAATTGGGTTGGAGCAAGAAGGCTGGGATATATTTCTTGTGGAAATTCAGAGGTGGGAGAAAAATGGGCTGCTCTGGGTTACCTTTAGCTGGAGTTTTTCCTGTCCTGAGGGGGAAAATGATCCACTCTGGGCTGCCTCTGGCTGAGATTTTTCCTGTCCTGTGCTAAACTGCTGGGGGAAGCCCCAGGCTGGAAATCATTCCCAAACCCTTGTGCAGCCCCTGTTTTGGCACAGATGGAGGGGGGGGGTTGCTTCAGTCCTTGATTTTTCCTCTTCTTGGGAAGAGGGATTGTCCTGTGGGGAGCAGGAAAGTTGAAATAGTTTGATATACAGGACTTTAATTGATTGATTGGTGGATGGATGGAATTGGGTTTGGAGCAACCTGGTCTATGGAAGGTGTCCCTGCCCATGGCAGGGGGTGGAATGAGATGGGCTTAAAGGTCCCTTCCCACCCAAACCATTCTGGGATTCCATGATATAAATAATAGAAAACTACTCAAATAATTAATGCTTTATATCAGAATATTTCTGTATTTTCACAATTACAAAAATAATATATATGTTACTTCTCCTTCTTGCCTTTCTTTTGCTTTCTGCTCTTTTTATTGCCTTTATGTTGTTTTTTTCCTTTTTTTGGGAAGGCATTTTTAATTTTCTGGGAAATGTATTTTTAATAGACTGCTTCAGCAGACAGCTGCTAATTTACAAAATAAATAGCATAGTAAAATGTATAAGTAATAAAGTATGTGAATCATAAAAATATACATATAATAATTATATAGATCATAATTAATAATGTCTAATTTATATAAATACAATTTATATAATTTATATACATATAAACTATATAAAGTATATAAATAGTAAAGTAAAAACTTTTAATTTGTTCCTTTTTTGGTTTTTTTTTGGGAGGGGGGGTTGGGTTGCTTTGTTCCTTTTGGTTTGGTTTTTTTGGGGGATTGGGTTGCTTTCACCACTCATCATTAGTGAAATCTACCCAGGCAACACAGTGACAGAGCCTCCTTTAGCATAATGTATTAAAAATGGGGTTTAAACATCCTGCAGAAGGGAAAAGAAAAAAAAAGCCCCTAAAGCTGTGATTTCATTCCCAGGTCACGTTAAGTGCAATTACATTTCTGTGCCTCTGAATCAGTTCCCTTAAATATCTGGGCTATATATTTAACTTCCCAATGAAATGGCTTATGCTGTAAATATTGAGGCCATCCAGGGTGATTAAATATTAAAACTGACATTTAAAGGCAGTCCCACTCGCTGGGTGAGCTCAGCTTTGCCAGCTCTGGGCTCGGTGCAGGCTGAGTTGAGCTTCACCAGCTCTGGGCTCAGTGCAGGTTTGAGCTCAGCTTTGCACCCACCGAGGCTTGTCCTGCAGGGAAAGGCACGAAATCCCCCAGGAAATCCCACCTGAGGGTTATGGAAGGTGTCCCCAGGACAAGGGCAGCAAGTCCTGAGCTTTAATCCTGGAATCATGGAATTGTTAAGCTCGGAAAAGTCCTCTGAGCCCATCAGCCCAGCCCCACCACCGCGTTCACCTTTAAACCTCAAGTGCCACATCCAGGTGTTTTTGGAACACTGCCATTGATGGCGACTCTACCACTGCCCTGGGCAGTCTGTTCCAATGCTGGACAACCCTTTCCATGAAGGGATTTTTCCTAATCTCAGCCTAAACCTCCCGTGGAGCACCTTGAGGCCGTTTCTTCTCATGCTGTCCCTGGTTACCTGTCGGTGCCTTCGGAGCTGAGGGAGGCAAGAACTGCCCATGAACTCACTGCTGCTTACTGAGCACAGCCAGGGTGGAAAATGCAGCTCCATTTGAATAACTGCCTCTGAGGAAGTGCCTTTGGAAACCCTGAGATGCAGATAATTTTTTCTTACAAGGGTCTGTGATCCTGCAGAACCTCCTGGGGTTGTTCACGCCGTTTGAAAACAAAAACAGCATTTTCAAATCACCCAAACACTGCTATTTCCCACGTGAAGTTGCCTCTGCCTTTGTTCCAGTCTGAACCTACCTGGCTATTAAATCTGCCATGACTGATGTGGTCGTTGTTTTTCAAGGAGGCATTAAGGGAGCTGTGATGGAAAGATGACACAGAAATTATGTGGTGCTGCTGCTGAGATATCTGTGATTACAGCTGCCTTTTACACCTTCTGCAAATCCCCACAATCGCTGAGTTATTTCCCTGCAAGGCTTTGGGAGGATTAAATTAATTTGGTGGTGTGAGGTTCTAAGGAGCAGAAGATATCCCTGTGCCAAGAACTGCAAAGAGAACCTCACCTGAAGTCCATCCCCTCCTCAGAATCCTCCTTCCTGCTGCAGGTGAGTGGCTGGAGGAGGGGGGAAGTTGTAGGGTTGTTGTCTGGTTGCAGAAATGGGTTTGATTTGGTCCAAGGAAATTTTTCCTTCTGTGGTTTCCCTGAAAATGAGGGTTTCTCCCCCTCTGTGTGCAGACACACACACGTGCCCCAGTTTGGAGCCACTTCTTTGGGGTCTGTCTTCCCTCTGGTGTCGGGAGAGGGAGCAGCACCAGGAGGGTTTTAGTTTAGGATGGAAATGTTGGAGGTCACCACGTGTTTCCAAACCTCTTCCTGGCTGACTCCAGGAGCTGCAGCCTGTTGTGGTTGGGTGACATCAAGGAAGAGGGGGAAGGCTGGAAGGTGTAAATGGAAAATCAGGTGAGCAGAGTGTCTGATTTGCTTCCTGCTGCAGCACTTCACCTCTGCCTTACAAACAGCTCTTCAGAGAAATTATCCTTGAAACCTGGCAGTGCCTCTGCATGGTGGGAAATGAAACCTCTCTTTGTGTGGAGCTCTTGGATCAGTTGATTGCTGGGTTCATGGGTTTAAAAAAAAAAAAAAAAGGAAAAGAAAATCTATAGAAACAACATTGAATGATCCCAATTTCCTTGCAGAGCTGAAGGATGGGGGTCACTGCAGCAATTCCTCCTTTGGGGAGGGAGCAGCAGCTCCTGTTTGCTCTCACACCCCTGGGAACAGCTCAGGAATTGCAGAATTGGTGTAATCTGGGGTTTTTTCCCATTGCTGGTGGTTGTAGAAATGCAGCCCTGCCCTGGAAAGGCCT